AGAGTTGGTGTACAGGTAGTCCTCGACTTACAGCCATTCATTTAGCCACCATTCCAAGTTACAGCAGCATAGAAAAAAAAAGGACTTACAACCGGTCCTTGCACTTACAACCATCACAGCATCCCAATGGTCGCAATCAAAAGTTGAGCGCTTGGCAACCAGCGTGTACTTTTCTCAATTGCAATGTCCCGGGATCATGTGATTGCCATCTGTGACCTTCCCAGTCAACTTCCATTAAGTAAAATAAATGGGGGGGAAGACGGACTCGCTTAATGACCATGTGATTCACTTAACTGCAACGATCTGCTTAAAAACAGTGTCAAAAAAGATTGTAAAATTGGGTGTCTGTCTTGCTTAACAATGGAAATTGGGGTCCTAATTGTGGTTGTATATCGAGGACTACCTGTATCTTAAGCTACAGTTTTCCAACTTGGTGCCTCCTGCACGCCTGTCAGACCACAGTGCAAATAATTACTAGCTAATTCCAGTCATTGATCCCCTCAGTGAATAGGTCAAAGGACATCAAGGATGAAAGAAATATCACTTGCCCACTGGAAAACCCCAACAGTATCAAACTGTATCAAACCTCTTTAGTTGTAGGTTCTTCTCTCCTTGATTAGTTTCCATCCATTGTTTCTTGTCTTGCCTTCTGGTGCTTTGGAAAATAGATTGAGCCTCGCTTCGTTGTGGCAGTCCTTCAAAGAAGAGGGGGTCAACCTATTTACCAAAGCATCAGAAGGCAAGACAAGAAACAATGGATGGAAACTAATTGAGGAGAGAAACAACCTAGAACTAAGGAGAAGTTTCCTAACAGTGAGAGCAATAAACCAGTGGAACGGCTTGTCTTCAGAAGTTGTGGATGTTCCATCAATGGAGGCTTTTAAGAAGAACTGGACAGTCACTTGTCTGAAATGGTATAAGATCTCCTGCTTGAGTAGGGGTTGGACTAGAAGACCTCCAAGGTCCCTTCCTACTCTGTTATTCTATTATTCTGTTAAACCCAACATTTATTTTGTCCACAGATCAGCTTGATGTTTCTAAAAACTCCTAAGCTGTACATCCTAAGCTGTACATTAAGGCAAAGTCTGGTCAAAGACGTATTGCTATTGAACACAGAGATGCTTCTTCCCAATTAATGTGACTTATTCTCTTCTTGAATCTAAGCTAGGATCCATTGCCATATCTTGAGACTGTGAGTTCCAAAAATGAATGATACTATTTGTGAAAAAGGCCTTCCATCTGATCAGTTCCATTTCATAACTGTGAGCAGAAGCTAGGGGAATATAATGTATGAAGACAGTATTCCACTGATATCCCATTTTAGTAAAGATTATGCATTTTATTTCAAAAGTGAATGAAAAATGAATCCAATAAGCCACATTTTTCTTTATTTATGGAAATGAAATGAAATTCAAATGAACGAGTTCTAAATAAAGCATTGATTCAATACTCTTGAAGTGAAATGGGTTTGAAAATCAGGAAGAACCTCCAGATCACAAAAAAAACTAAAGGAAGAAGTTAAGAGGGTGTGAATCTGCATATGTACAAAATTTTAAATGGAAACTCTTTGTCTAATCCAGTGTTTCTCAACCTTGGCAGCTTGAAGATGGGAAGACTTCAATATCCAGAATTCCCCAGACAGCTATGCTGGGAGTTGAAGTCTGCCCATCTTCAAGTTGCCAAGGTTGAGAAACCCTGGTCTATATTATATATTCAGAATAGAACAGGAAGGGACCTTGGAAGTCTTCTAGTCCAATCCCCGCAAAAGCAGGAGATCCTCTACCATTTCAGACAAGTGGCTGTCCAATCTCTTCTTAAAAACCTCCAGTGATGAAGCACCCACGACTTCTGAAGGCAAGCTGTTCCACTGGGTTATTGCCCTCACTGTTAGGAAGTTTCTCCTTAATTCCAGGTTGCTTCTCTTCTTGAATAGTTTTCATCCATTGCTTCTTATCCTGCTCTCCAGTGCTTTGGAAAATAAGTTTGGAAAATAACTCTTTGTGGCAGCCCCTCAAATGTTGGCATACTGCTATGTCACCCCTAGTCCTTTTTTTCTCTAGACTAGCCATACCCAGTTCTTGCAACCATTCTTAATATGTTTTAGTTTTCAGGCCTTTAATCATACTAGTTGCTCTTCTCTGCATTTTTCCGACATCTTTTTTGTAATGTGGTGACCAAAACCAGATGCAGTATTTCCAAGTGTGGTCGTACTAAAGCTTTATAAAGTGGTACTTTGTCTAATCTGTCTTTGGCCCAAAACAGAAATTAACTAGTGCTAGTCAGAAAAATTCACCGGCATTTATTTTTAAATTTTCTCATTAACTTTAATGCAAGGGAATTTAATATAAATATTAAAATACTTTCCTAGGGAAAGAGAAGTTAGAGGAAATTATGGTGGGTGAATGTAATATTCTTTAATTTCTTTAATTATAAGGTACTAAGGGGTGGGTGTGAATGTTTTACAGTTCATTGCACAGCCATCTCTCCAACAGTCTGCAAATTTTCCTTGTGCTGCTTCTATTAAATCCCAGGAGAAAATCTCTGGAGGAAATGCCTCCCATCGGGCTTTTCATGAGGGAGAGAAGTCCTGTCCTTAGAAGTGGTTGGAGAATTTCTCAGAACAGAACAGAATAACAGAGCTGGAAGGGACCTTGGAGGTCTTCTAGTCCAACCCCCTGCTTAAGCAGGAGATCCTTTATCATATCAGACAAATGATTGCCCAGTTTCTTCTTAAAAACCACCCATAACTTCTGGAGGCAGTTGCCTGGAAATATACTGGAATATATCATGGCCTCTGCTCAAAGAACCTACAAATCCACCTCTAAAGATCCATGAAAAGTTCTTATGTTGAAGATGTAATCCAATGCATCTTAATGCCAGGGGCTGCCACAAAGAAGAGGAAGTCAAGCTACTCTCCAAAGTGCCTGAAGGCAGGACAAGGAGCAACAGGTGGAAACTAATCAAGGAGAGAAACAACCTAGAACTAAAGAAAAACTTCCTGATAGTTAGAACAATTAACCAGTGGAACAACCTGCCTCCAGAAGCGGTGAATGCTCCAACACTGGAAGTTTTTAAGAAGAGACTGGACAGCCATTTGTCCGAAATGGTATTGCGTTTCCTGCCTGAGCAGGAGGTTGGACTAGATGACCTCCAAGGTCCCTTCCAACTTTATTATTATTATTATTATTATTATTATTATTATTATTATTATTATTATTATTATTATTATTATTATTATTATTATTATTATTATTACTACTACTACTACTACTACTACTACTACCACTATTATTATTATTATTATTATTATTATTATTATTATTATTATTATTATTATTATTATTAAGTGAGACTTACTGAGTCTTCATTAGCCTTCTTCCTGACTGTAACTTACTAACTGAAATGTTCTCCACAAATACTAGAGACAAGCCAGAAGGCATCTAAGCTAGGCTGACTAGGGAACAGTGGTAGTGGAAGTCTACCCATCCTAAACTTGCCAAGGTTGAGAAACATTGGATTGTGGAATGACAGGAGAGAGCTTCTGATTGCCCAGCACCTGACTGGACAACCCAAAACAGAAAATAGGAATAAATGGGCAAGAAAGGATCTGTGTAGGAGTCGGCCATATTGGGTGGCAACCTTTGTAAATAAGAATTTAAAAAGTGAAGAAACAAATGGGCTTTGACGAGCTTCAGAGGAATCTCCTCAGCCTTAACGAGGAAGACACCAAACGGCAAATTTAAGGCCTGTCAGCCAGGGTGATTGATACTCAAACGCTGAAGGAGTTAATTCTCCATTCAGAGGAATCATCTGCCTAATCCAGTGGTTCTCAACCTTTTTAATGCCGTGACCCCAACCGGTCGTAAGTCGAGGACTAAACCGGTCGTAAGTCAAGGACTAAACTGGTCGTAAGTCGAGGACTAAACCAGTCGTAAGTTGAGGACTACCCAACCGATCGTAAGTCAAGGACTTTCCCTGCCCGGGAGCGCCGCGCATGCGTGGTTCCGCCCCCTGTGCCGGCCGAGGCGTAGCTGGCAAGTGGCAGAGACGGAGCAGGCCGACCACCAGCTGGCCCAGCCCAAGGGAGGTAAGGCACCCGCCGGAAAAGGGGGGAAAATGGCGGACAAAAAAAATGGCGGACAAAAAAAATGGCGGACAGCCTTGTTGGCGACCCCCATGAAATGGTCTATCGACCCCAAATGGGGTCCCGACCCACAGGTTGAGAACCACTGGCCTAATCTCTCTATCCCAAAATTTGGCGAAGGATTTAAGAAGGCTTGTGTATCAATCTGTAGCTTAAAATGTCCTAAACAGAAAAATCATAAACTGTTTTGCAAAGCAAAAAAAGCAGAGACCAGCGTATTGAAACCTTCATGGAAAACAATGAGAAGCTTATAAAATGAGTATCATTTTAGGTCTCTGTTGGAAATTGGGTTTCTTTTTGTTCCATCATCTGAAACTGATCAGTTGTTAAACTTTAACAAAGGAGTAAGTCCCCTGAAATGCTCGTGCCTAAAGGTCCCATGTAGGTAGCTGGCTAGTGGTGGCCGGGTGGGGAATTCTGGGAGTTGGAGTCCATACATCTTAAAATTGCCAAGTTTCAAAAACACTGTATTTCAAAGCAGTGGACATGCGCAGATGCCTCTGTGAAAGCCACATCTCCCATCTCTTCTGCACTAAAGCCAAAATGCCTATGGAGGACAGTACTTAGTGACTGGAAGAGAAGCGGTGGGTCTAAAATATCAGTAAAAGCAGAATAGCTGCCATTCCTAACTTCATCCGTAACCTCAGCATCAGTGAATTGTGCAATGGTAAAAAAATATGTCAGGAGAAAAGGGAGGATATAGGCGTGGGTGTTATTTATTTATTCAGTAAATTTACATGGCTGCCTAGCTACTCCTGGAATTCTGGAGGGTGAACAAAAAAAAAGAACACAAGAAGCAAATATCATTTTAAAAGAATCGCATGAAAGCATTATAATAAATCCTTTATCCACTTACCTGATATGTCCATGCTGGGCTCAGTTAACCTTCTGGTCTCAGTGCCTTGGGGAAAGCCATTTCTTTATGGTCTTACAGAAAGCAACAGGCTTGAGGTCATTCAAAACTCTGAAGTGAGGCCTGTCATGGTTCCCAAAGATGAAACTTTTCAAACAACTTTGAGGCATTGTTTACCTTAAAGAACTTTTATTTGAGCAGCATAGCTTTGGCACGTACATAGTGGACATAGATCAGCACATAGATCAAAGCACAATTCCCTCCTACAACAGTCATAAATCACATTCTCCAATTACTTTGAAATGCTGGCTTTCCGCCCAGTTTTTTATCCTGGCCAAGCCTTATCAGCTCTTATTACAATATTGTATGTCTAACTAACTCCCATCACATTCCTCCCCCTCCCCCAGTATCATCTAATTCTAAGAGTAAAGTATAAGAAAGAAAAAGGCTGCATCTCCATATGTTGTCAAAGCAAGAACATCCAATGTTAGCAGAGTTGACAAGGCCATTGTATAAGGTAGGCACCATAACACAGAAAGTAAGTTTCCTAAGTCCTCCGGATGATAATGTTTCACTGAAGGGACTTGGAGTATGTCCGGTATGGTGGATCTATTAGGATGGGCAGAGATCACTGGATTGGGCAGTCCTGCAAATCGCCAAGTCCCGTGCTACATCTGGCTTTAAAGGTGACAGTCAACACCTTGAGTTGTGCCTAGAAGCCTATTGGAACCCAGGGTAGCTCACATCGCAACAGCATTATATAGGCATATCATGGTGGCCACAATGTAGCTCCTTAGATAAATTTGGTATATGTTTGCATGTGTTTTGGTGTTTTGTCCCATCTGTTCATTTGGGGTATTTTTATTTTGTTTTGTTTTTGTGAGCCACCCATCAGCGTGGAGTTGAATGGCATTGAAATAGAATGAATAAATATTTTAAAATAAATAAAAGCAGATACTGAGCCTCTTCGATGGTTAATGGCAGGAGAGGAAGAACTGCTTGGATAGCAGCTGCCATTTTGGGAGGAGTCCGGAGGAGCTTGTGAGAGACTGTGGGGAGGCTGAGAACGTGGCACAATATTTTTTTTCAGACTTGGCAACTTGAAGATTTGTGGGTTTCAACTCCCAGAATTCTCCAGCCAGCATGCTAGGAGTTGAAGTCCACATGGTTTAAAACTGACAACCAGCTGAAGCTTCCAGGTGCTTTTAACAACTGGCTAAAACTTCTGAGAAAAAGATTAAAATCACTTGGCAAAATATTTTGCAGATTATTATTATTATGGATCATCGCACAGTCAGCCAGATGTTCAGACTGGATTTGGCATTTTGTCTACCTATCGAGTCCTTTCCCAGGACCTGGGATAGGCAGATGTGGATGTTTGATGGTATTACAGATATCGTCGCAGGATGGAAGCGGTTCCTAGTAAGGCCGCCTTTTGCAATTGACTAATAGCGAATTTGTCAATGCCAATGGTGTTCAAGTGGTGCTCCAGTTGTTTTGGGATTGCACCTAAGGCACAATTATTTATTATTATTATTATTATTATTATTATTATTATTATTATTATTATTATTATTATTATTATTATTATTATTATTATTATTACTACTACTACTACTACTACTACTACTACTACTACTACTACTACTACTATTATTATTATTATTATTATTATTATTATTATTATTATGGATCATCACACAGTCAGCCAGATGTTCAGACTGGATTTGGCATTTTGTCTACCTATCGAGTCCTTTCCCAGGACCTGGGATAGGCAGATGTGGATGTTTGATGGTATTACAGATATCGTCGCAGGATGGAAGCGGTTCCTAGTAAGGCCACCTTTTGCAATTGATTAATAGCGAATTTGTCAATGCCAATGGTGTTCAAGTGGTGCTCCAGTTGTTTTGGGATTGCACCTAAGGCACAATTATTTATTATTATTATTATTATTATTATTATTATTATTATTATTATTATTATTATTATTATTATTATTATTATTATTATTATTATTATTATTATTATCTGAATGCACAATAGTGCTATTGGTTCTAACCTGCTAGATTTTTACCTCCCATGGCATTCTAAGAAACCAACATCTGAAAATGGAAGAACCCACACAGGTTTCTCTCTTTGTCTGTGGGCTTGTTCTGTGTGACAAGCCTTAAATAGCTTTAAAGTTTGAGGAGAGAGGGAGAACGCAACTCAGTATTCTGCAAACAAATAATGGATGGAGTTGCCGTCTTCCTTTTTTCTGAGATTTCCCAGAAACATTTGGCTGGCCGCTGTTAGAGGCTGGGCTAGGAGGAACCTTTGATCTGAGTCCAGCATATTCTGTTGTGGGGCAGCGCCTCCTAATGGGGAATAGAAAACATTGCAGCAGTGGTTCTGCCTTGGAATAAATTACAGTTTATCTAGTAAAACAATAATAAATAATTTCTTGAGTTTAGTTCCGCACTCAATGAATGCCTGAACTCAAAGGAACGTGGAGAAAAGGATACCATCATTCTTTTTTGAGGATTATTTTTTCCTAATTTCCTAATCTAATTGGTGGTCAGGCTCGATAACAAAGATTGATTACAAACCATCAAGTCAGTGTTGACATTTAGCAAAACTATGATTTTATCCAGGAAGATCTGTTCTCAAGTCATCCAATGATGTCACATTGGCACTATAACTGAGTCCCTTACTGTCGGTCATTCTCTTTTCTTTCCTTCCATCAGTGATAAGACCTTAGCAGGATTTCCCAGATGTTCAGCTTTGCACATTTAAGATACTGAGATGCACAACAGGGCATATCTAGATAAGACTCTAGCTAGCACCTATTATCTAGATCAGGGGTAGTCAACCTTGGCTCTTTTATGACTCGTGGACTTCAATTCCCAGTCCACGAGTCATAAAAGAGCCAAGGTTGACAACCCCTGATCTAGATTATAGAACCTGCTAATTACCTACTGTCAACATGAAAGAGCAATTTTTATATCCACTATATCCACTATAATTTAATTCTGGGGTTTCTTTCTTAAGTTCATTCCTAATTGCTTAACAGACCTTGCACTGTGCTTCTCATCCTTGAAGATGGGCACCTATTGGTTTTTGACATAACAGACATGCCAGCCTTGAGGCATTATGATTCTCAACGTTTACTTTTTATAGTCTTGGGATATCCCTGGGCAGTAAAATTGTTAGCTTTTTGAGACAGGCTATATCAAGGAACAGCCACAGCAGGAATTCCAGGAAAAAGTTCCTTATTATTGTAGGATTGTAGGTTTTTCCAGTTGCAATGTATGGCTGTGAAAGTTGGACCATAAGGAAGGCTGAGTGCCAAAGAACTGAGGCCTTTGAACTATGGTGCTGGAGAAGACTCCTGTGAGTCCCCTGGACTGCAAGGC